TGTGCACAGCACAGAGCAGAGAGGCTGAGCACCACTGCATTCCTGCCCCAAAGGCTCCGGATGGCAGAGCAGCAGTGCCACAACTGCTCCTCGCGGCCCAAGGGACCCCAGAGCGCTGCAGCTCCAAAGCCTGGAGCTGTGAGCAAACACGACTGCAACAAACGTATGGCAGAGGACAGAAGGGGCTTCTTGCTGCTCTTCCTCCCAGGATGGAAAAGTGGCAGAGGCAGCACCGTGCTCCTAAATGAAGTGTGAGGAAGGAGCAGCAGGCAGCGTGGGGGAGTGACAGCAGATGGAGAAGGAAAGCGAGCAACGAGGAGGGCAGGGAGAGGTTTTCACCAGCTTGGAAGAGGAGATTTCTCGTGCCAGGAATTTAAGAGAAGCCACTCAATCTCCTTTCAATTTGCAGAGGCATCTGCAGCAAACACAAAGCCTCCCACAGCACAGAGGCTTCCCTGCACCCTCCCCCACAGACAGCTGGAGGGGCTGAGCGGGGCACAGGCCTTCTCTGCTCCCTGCCGTGCTGCAGCGCTGCCCTGCTTGCCCCACTGCTGCAGCCCTGGGGGAACAACCCCTTCCGACCCAACTCTTCCACCTCCTTTTGTTGCGTGTCATACAGCACAGAGCAGCATAAAGCCTAGCACGGAAAGTAGGAGCGATGCAGGCACGGGGGCTCACCAGCAGACAGAAGGCTGGCTGCCCCACGCAGCCCCACTCACCCAGGACGCCTCTTGGCTGCCCTCTGCACGATGGCTCCTCCGGTCTGAGCTCCGGCCCCGGGGTTCCCTGAGCCGACGGCTGCGCCCAGCGAGGAGACATCTGATGCCATTTCTGCACGGGGGGGAAGAAAAAGAAACCGCTGTGACTCCAAACCTTCCTCCGGCTCAGATGGGAGGGGATCCTCAGCCCTCCTGCTCAGCAGCGGCACAGCAGGCAGCGTCTGAAGCAGCGGTTCTGTGCCATGTGTTCCCAGCCCTCCCGTCCGCTGCCTCCCCGCGCTCTGCACTGAGGCCCATCTCCAGCTCGGAGCACACGCTGTTCTCATCAGCTTGGAGCACCGAATTAAAAGCTGCAGCCTCCTTTGCAGCCAGAGGAGGAGCCCGATGTGAGCATGGGAAGGGGCTGAAGCCACTGCCAGCTCTGCAGAAGGGCAGAAGAGCTGCGGGTTCACCTCAGCCTCACCGACAGCAGCACCTCTCGATTCCCCCGGCTCAGGAGACGAAGAATTAATGAAGGCACCTTGAAGCCACGGCCTTACAGCAGCAGCTCCCATTCTGCAGCACAGCAGAGGCACCGCTACCAGTCCCCAGTCGGCCACACACCCACAGCAGCTCTTCCCCAAAACGATGCTGAGCGCCTGCAGCCCAGCACCAAAGGGCCGCTGAGTTAACGCAGTCTCAAAGGCTCTGTTTCTTTTCCCCCCGTGCTGTTCTGAAATAAACCCTCTCTATCCCTGCTTTGCAGCTGTGCTTTGAGGTTTGCTGCAAAGCAACGCGGCCACACAGCTCCCAGCACAGCCCTCAGCAGCTGGGCGGCGCAGAGCCCCGAAGGCTTCAAACGGCCCAAAGCAGCACAGCAGCGCCGCTGTGCTGGGCAGAGGGGACTCAGAGCCACCAAAGCTGCTGAGACGACCCCAAGTCCGGCCTCATAACACCAAAAATGAAAGCAAAGGGGGCCCAAAGCCCCCTGAACTCTCAGTACTGAAATCCCAGCTGAGCCAAAGGCAGCAGGCCCTGCCGGGTGAGAAGCAAAGGGCAGCAGCACCATGAGAAATCTGTGCAGCAACGCCAACGCAACTCCTCACCCCAAGCAAAGCACAGCGCTTCACATCCCGCCCTTCCAGGAGAGGAAGAACCCTCAGAGCTCTTTGCATCACCTGCTTTTCACCTTTTTCCCCCTTTTCCTTCAGATTTTAACCCAGCAGCAGCACTTCTGTGGGCAGACAGGCTGTGCTGGCAGCTTGCAGCAGGGCTGTGCGACCACCAACCGCCTCTGCTGGGCCAGCAAACACCCCCACAACTTGTGCTGCTTCCTCCACAGCGCATCTTCTCCCCACAGCGACGCTGCCAGCCTGCACTGCTGCTTGCTTTGCTCTCCACCCAGTGCTGCTGCTGAGCTTTCCTCCCTACCAGCAGCACAGAGCAAACAAAGCCGGCAGCTCCGGAGCCCACAGAGCCGACTGCAAGCCTCCCTGCAGCAGCAGAACCTGAGCAGCAGCAGGAGGCAATGAGGGCTGTGGGGCTGCCTGCTCCATCCGTCCCCAAGCCGGACGGTCGCCGTGCCCGCCTCCATCAGCCCCAGCTCCCAAACTCAGCTGGAGCTGCTCAGGCACGGCTGCTGATGGAGGACTCTCTCTACGCAGCTTTCCTCCCACCACGCAGACAGCTGGCAGCCAGAAGGGCTGCTTTGGGTGCAGGCAAACCGGGGTAAAACGTTCCTTCCTCTCTTCTGGGAGTCCTTGGCTCTCCAGAAAGGCCGCAAACTGAGCAGAAAGAAAGAAAGTTCCTGGAGTGCTGCTCTGTGTTCATTAAGGAGTGAGGAATTTCCGGCTCAGGCAGGGGAAGGAAGCGGTGCTGCACGGCTCTTCTGCAAAAGGCAGCACAGAAATTAAGGATCCCTGCGTGCACCTGAATGGGACGTGCCAGCAGAGCGCAGCGCATCAACAGCTGGAGCAGGATGGAAGAGGCTGGAGGACAGCGCAGGGAAGGGCACCGAGGGGGCCGTGCAGCTCAGCCCCACGGGAAGGGCGCTGTCGCAACCGTTGGCATCTCCACGAGTTCAGAAATGGTCCCAAACAAAAAGAGCCGACCGTTCCAAGCTGTGATTGAGGAGACGGGCAGCAGCCTGAAGGCTGTTTCCAACCCCAGCAGCACAAGGTTGCTTTCCAGGGCCGGCTGCAGCTCAGCACATTTTTTGCTTACCAAGATTTAAACCACCCATGGTTCAGCTCCCGCAGAGCTCAGCGCAGCCCTGCCCGTACAGAAGCCGGCTCCAAACAAACCCCCTTTGCACCACAGCACCCCGTGATGAACCCCCCGCTCACCACACGGCGTCAGGAGCGTCCTGACAACCCCCCTTCACCACGAAACCCATTAAGCAATTAATGGGCCGGGAGCCTCTACAGATAGCAGCTGACCCAGAGCCAGCGCCTCCCTCTGCTGTCGGAGCCCTTTGTCAGCTATTGAACACAGATGTTTCTTTTCCCAGAGAACTTTTTGGGGTCGAGCCTTTCCTATTGCACGCAGCCCAGCACTCTGAGGGCTACAAGCAGAGCGCTGCTCTCACAACCGTTTCCCTTTCCCCACTCGCCGCATCTCGCTCTCGCCGTCTCTTCCAGCCCCACTCTGCGCAGCACAGCTCTCCTTCCCTCCCGATCTGCACATCCTGCATCTGCCCAGCTGCTCTGAGCAGCTCCCAGCAGAGCCCTCCCTGCTACGAGGGCAGCTGATGGGCTGAACCGCAGCCCTGCCTCCCTGGGATGCTGCAGCACCGCAGGAGCCCCTTTTGCTGCGCGAGGAGAACGCAGATCGGACCGTTTCCCCTTCAGATCCACCTGCTGCTAACCTGGCTCAGGAACGCTCCTTTCTGGTGCCTCTGTTGTGTCTCTTTTTCCCAAGCAATGTCTGAGTATGGGATTGCTGCAGGATTTCAGCTCACAGTGTGAAACCACAGCACCGGCTCTGCACCTCAACCACCACAGATGAGCACCCCAGTGTGTTTTCTCAGCATCCGAAGCCACAAACGCTTCCTATCCCATTAGAATGCTTTAGAAAAGTCATCTTTGAGAGGTGAATCGAATCATCTTTGATAAAGCTGGACAAGTCACACAGCCCCACACCCCGTCAGCCTCAAGCCACAAGCGAGAGCCGTCAGCAACCACAAAGCAGCGCAGCAAAACAAGAAAAAAAGAGACACAGAGGCTCAGGTTCTGATCTCAGCCACCCACAGCCCTGCAGCCACCAGGTTACTGCAGGGCGGATGGACTGACCGTGGGTTTTGCTACAAATCCAATGGAGCCCTCAGGATCCCATCATCTTCCCTGCTCAGCACGCTGCCAATGACAGCCAGCTGCCCAACCAAGGGCTCCCATTTGGCCACCGACCACGGGGCAGAACGGGCTGAGCCCTCCTGCAGGCATCGCAGCGCGGCTCACACACAGCTTCAAACAGACACCGAGGGGATCTGGAAGGGCTCCTCCATGCCAGCAGCTGGACAGGCTGCGATCGGCGCTCATGAAGGAAAAACCTCCCCAAGAAAAAGGGGAGAAAAGCAACAGCGGCCATGAAGGGCAGCAGGGAGCAGCGCAGCTCCGGCACCGCGGGGCAGGGCAGCACCCCATAGGGGTACAAACCCCGCACCCCTCCGCCATCCCAACCCCCCTCGTTCCTCCCCAGAGCGACGCTCTGCTCAGCCAAACCCACCTCGCTGCTCCCACCCCCACACGGGCCCCCTTCCTCACACTCACACCCCCAGGGCCCCATTGGGGCAGCACGGCTCCCTCCCCCCTCCGCACAGCCCCCCATGCCGCCCTCACCCCCCTCCTTCAAGCAGACCCCCCCAGCCCCCCACACAGACCCCCAGGCCCCGCCCCGTCCCCTCACCTCCCCCTACAGGAGCTGCCAACCTCCCCTCAGCCCCACTTCGACCTCACACCCACCGCCCCCCAGGGAACGCCTCTCCCGCTCCCAGCCCTCCCCACGGCCGCACGCCCCCCTCAGCCCGAACCGCCCCGCGCTGCTCACCCGGGTTGGCGGCGGTGGCGGCCATAACGCGGCCCGTCCCGCTGCCGCCGCCCCCCCCCTTCCCCTCAGCACCGCCGCCGCGGCCAAGATGGCGGCGCAGGAAAACCCTCCGCGCCGCCGCGCAGCGCGACCCGCCCGCCTCGAAGGGCGGGGCGAAGGGGGAATGAGGCGCTGCTATTGGTCCGTCGTGGAGGGGGCGGGGCGAAAGGGGCGGTGTGGCTTTAAGAGAGAGTGCCCCGCCCACATCGCGAGGGGCGTGGTCAAGGAGGGGAGCGTGGTCACTGGGGGCGTGGTCAAGGGGCGGGAGTGATGACGTCACGTTGTTTATTTGTTTTGTCCCGAGCAAAAGAATGTGATGGGAATTGGGATTGGGATTGGGATTGGGATTGGGATTGGGATTGGGATTGGGATTGGGATTGGGACCGGGATTGGGACCGGGATTGGGATTGGGACTGGAATTTGTGTTGGGAATTTGTGGGGGATTCAGACTGAAGAGTTGGGATTGGGATTTGGGTTGAGATTGGGATTTGAAGTGGGGTTGGGATTGAGATAGGGACTGGGATCAAGAGTGGGATTGAGGCTGGGATTTGGACTGGTATTCAGGTTGAGATTGGGATTGAGAGTGGGATTTGGATTGATGTGGGGATGGGGATCAGCAGTGGGATTTGGGTTGATAATATAACAAATACAATGAAACTGAGAGGCGGTGCTGCTGGAGGTGCTGCTCCTTCCTGCACCGCTCTTTGGCAGCTCCAAACTGCAGAGCAGCTCAGACTCAGTGCCGCAGTTCCCAAAGCTTTGCGCTGCTCAGAGCCCACGGCAGCCCCTGCCCCACTGCAGGTCACCCCACGGGCCGGGGGGAGGCGAGGGACCCAGCGCTGTCTGCTCAGGGGGGTCCCAGTTTGCTCAACCAGAGCCACACACAAAGCCTGGCGGGAGGTGCTGAGAGCTTCGTGACCCCTTTAATCCGCAGGATCGCTTCTCCCCATTGCAGGGAGCAGCTGAAAGGTGATGCTGCTGTGCGTCTGCGGTGTCTTTGATGGCCCCGATGTCACCACGGCCCTGCAGTATTGATGAGGCTCAGAGAGGTGAAGTCCAGCCCCAGTGCCTCTGTGTCCCTGCAGTATTCATAAAGCCCGATGAGGTGACAGCAGGCCACAACGTCACCGTATCCCTGCATTATTCATGAGGCCAATTGACTGGGGAGAGCCACAGACAGCAGGACACAGGGCCAGGCAGTCCGTCTGTCTCTCCATCTGGAGAGAGGTAAGGGGCGCTCAGCACACACAGGACAGGGTTCAGAACTGGGGGGTTGGGGTCCCACCTCAGTAGGGTGATGGCATTCATGGAGGCTGTGTTTGCTCACCCCTGGTGTATTATAAACACAAACAAATCTGTAAGTTTGGTGGCTTTTCTGGCACCAGCCTGAACAAACCTTCTCTTCTGCTCTTGTTTGCACACCTCTGTTTGCTTAGCACGGCTTTCCCACATGCTCCTGTCCCCTCCTAACCCGAGCCACGTCTGCTGGACTCAAAGATCCTTACTGGTCCCTTCCATCTCAAGGTATTCTGTGATTCCGTGATTCCATGATTTCCCCGATTCTGTGGGGGCTCAGCCAAGCCCTGCTGTGCCAAACAACCACCAGTGTGGCTGTACCCAACAGTAATGGCATATTTTAACCCGGGTTTTCCTGGAAAGCGGGCAGGCTGTGCAGGGAAGAGAAGCTGGAAGGGATGCCACTGGGAACAGTGGGGTGCTTTGTCCTGTGATTGCCGCTCCTGTTCTTCCACCCTCCTCTGCCCTGCAGGATGCGGCTGGGGCTGCACGCCTGAGTGCCGCCCGCATGGCCATCGACGTGGATCAGGGCTTCGCCATCGCCTTCGTGGTGCTCACGTGCCTCTTCCTGCTGGCCGTGATGGTTCGCTGCGCCAAGCTCATCATCGACCCCTACAGCGCCATCCCCACCTCCACCTGGGAGGAGGAGCAGATCAACTGAGCCTCCCCGGACCCCCAGCACGGTGACTCGCGGTTCTCCCTCCCCACTGGGTGCGCCCAGAGCTTCATCCCGGCGCCCCAAGGCGCTCTTGGAAACGTAGAGTTGCTCAGGTTGGAAAAGACCTTAAAGATCATCAAGTCTCCATTACCTCTGACACCCCAGGGTCCTCCATCTCCTTGAGAGCCCCAGCCGTTCTTCTCTTCCCTTCCTCAAACCCCTGAGAACCCCCCCGGCCCGGACCGCTTCCGTCCCCTGGGTGGCAGTGCTGAGCCTTTGCAGGGACGCGGCCCCTTTAAGGCTCCCCCCAGCCGCTCTTCTCACACATGCGCCTTGGCTCACTTCCGCCGCTCACGGCGGCGGCCCGCCTCTCACGCATGCGTAGAGCAACGCCGGCCTCAACTGGGAGGAACGGGACTTCCTCTAAGTACCGGAAGTGACGGCGTGCAACTTCCGGTCCAGCGCCCCCGACCCCTTCCTCAGCCTCCATCCCAGCAATAGGGGGCCGGGCTGGGCCGCGGGGCCGAGGTGGGCGCGGGGACGGCGGGTTGTTGAGGCGGGGACGGGGGGAGAGCGGCGAGGGGCTCGGGAAGGAGCGGGGGGGGCTGAGGGGGTTTGTGAGGCGGCTGGGGGGGCTGAGGGGTTTGGAAGGGAGCGGGGGGAGGAGGCACGGGATGCGGGGGAGGGGGGGAGGAGCGCGGGGGAGTCTGGGGGGGTTTGGGGCCGAGGGGAGCGGGAGGAGCTCCGTGTGCCGCTGGCTGCGTCCCCGGCACGGCGGTGGGACCCGGTCCCCGTTGGGCAGCACGGCCCCTCTGCGTTCCCTTCTTCTCTTTTTCCTCCCGGCCCTCAGAGAGACGTTGGATCTTTGCGTTTTCAGGGCTGGAGGGTGGGACTGGGGGAGAAACGTGAGCTGTAGGGCAGCGGGAGGCGGGCGGGATGGAGCGGAGCAACGGGGGGGGAAAACGGCGGCCTCACTCCTCTGTGGTTCCGGGTGCAGCAGAAATGGATTGCCAGGACATCAAAGAGCTGCAAAAAGAAGTGATGGAGGAGATGGGAATCTCCATGGAGGAGCTGGAGGACATCATCAACAAGGAGCTGGAGAAGTCTGAGTACGTGAAGCAGAAGAAGCAGCAGCTGGAGGAGCTGGAGGTGTGCGTGAAGCAGAAGGAAGAGGAGGTGGCGCACGTCGATCGCCTCTTCGATGATGCTTGGAGGTGAGCTCACCTGGAATTGCGGCTGTGGATCTGCGTTGGGTCTCGGAGAGCAGAGATGGGGCAGATCGGGTGGCAAAGGCTGATCTCTGAGCGCTACCTGTTTCCCTTCCAGTAGGCTGACGCCGTGCTGGTTGACTTGTATGTGATTATTGAGGGATGATTAAAATCAGCCCCCCTGACTGTGAACCCCTCTTGTGAATGTTTTTCCCTCTTCACGGTGGCTGTGTTTAATTTTGAGCTCCCCAGTGGTTCCTGTTTCTTTCTGCAATGCTGTGGGATTTACATCTGGACTCACTTTATCTTTTTCTGTCTCTCCCTCTTTCTTTCTTCCCATCTCAGAGACTTTCACAAATGTGAGATGTTGGTGAAGGATCTGTACTCCAAACTGGGCCTGGATTACCGTGAGAGCAGCTCTGAGGAGGAGGACTTGGCTGCCAAACCCACAGAAGTGATTGAGATCCCAGATGACGACGACGACGACATCATGAGTATTGATTCGGGCTGGAAGAACAGTTCAGTGTCTTACTGTGGTGATGAGGAAGGAGCGGGGATGGGAGCATCCTGCAGCAGAGGGGGATCAGAACGGGGTGCTGTAGAGCTGCCCGTCAGCCACGGTGGCCCTGAAGCAGATGGGAGCCGTGAGCTCACATGAGGGACATCAGCACTGCCATGGTCTGCCGGGGCCCCACGGTGCCTGGAGTTCAGGCTGTCAGGTGCTGAGCTGGGAATAATTGTTGTCCACGTCAAACGGTGGACGTCCTTTGCTGTGGAGGAGCTGCAGGTGCATTTCTTGCATCTAGAAGTGATTGGAAGTAAAATTGCCTTTTTCGAGTGAATTTCCTGGCAGGATCAGGGGATGCTTTTGAACGGAGGCTTCCCTCTGGTCCCTTTTCTTTGGGTGACTTTCTAGGGTGCATTCTTCCTCCCCAGTGTGTTTTAAACCACTTGTTTTCTCTCTAACCCCAGGCGATAGCAGTCCCAAGGTTCCCAAGGATCAGACCCTGGTGAGTTGGCACAGATCTGATCACGGTGCACTTCTGCAGTGGGGTTTTGCTGGCCCAGGACATCGTTGTATTCAGCGAGGCTGAAAATCCCCACTCTTTCACGTTCTTTTCCTTCCCTTCAGCTGAGGGAAGCCATGGCAGCAATGAGGAGGTCGGCCCAGGACGTTCAGAAGTTTATGGATGCTGTGCACAGGAGAACAAACGCCCAGGAGGCAGTGAGAGGTCAGTGTGAGCGTCCTGCAGCTGCCTGCTGCGTGCTGCCACTCGATGCTGGGCCCGTTTTCATTTTGGGAAGGAAAAACACAGCTCTGCTCTTTCCTTTCCCTGTTGGAAAGACCCGCTGGGGCGTGCAGATGCCATTTTGTTTCTGGAAATCCTTCTTAAGTCCAAATACTTGGAGTTCCTGTGCCATGAGAGCCTTTCAGCGCTGTGCCGTCCTCCTCGCTGGTGGCTCCGTCCTCCGGGGCTCAGGCACTCGGCTGCTGGCAGCAGAGCAGAGCAGGGCTGCTGCTCCCTGCGTCGGGTCTGACAGATGTGCTTGCAGTTGAAGCACAGCAGAGCGAATCCCTGGTTCGTTTGTGACGCGGCCGTTTCTGGGCAGATGCACAAACCCCTCAGCAGGCGCCTGGTGCTCTGCACTCTGCTGGACCGGCCGTGGGGGTGGGCGACCTCAGCAACGATGGCGATCTGAAGGTGGGCATGAGGATCCTGGGCAAGAAGAGAACCAAAACGTGGCACAAAGGGACTCTGATCGCCATCCAGACGGTCGGTAGGTTCTGAGTCAGCGGAGCTCAGCTCCTCCCGCGTGGAATCGCCGTGCCTTCGCTGAGCCCGCCCTGCTGGAACGTCTTTCAGGTGCTGGGAAGAAGTACAAAGTGAAGTTCGACAACAAGGGCAAGAGTTTGCTGTCTGGCAATCACATTGCTTACGACTATCACCCCTCCCCGGACAAACACTACGTTGGGAGCAGAGTTGTGGCAAAATACAAAGATGGGGATCAGGTCTGGCTGTATGCTGGCATCGTGGCTGAAACGCCAAACGTGAAGAACAAAGACAGGTATTCGTTCTCCTCCGCCGCCGTTTTATTCTTGTTTTTCTTATTAGTGAGAAGGAAACGTGCTGAAGTGGCAGCTAAGCTGCTTTCTGACCTCCCCAGGGCCGCGCTCACTGTTGTTTCCTCACTTATCCACGAGTGCTTTGGGTGGAGCCTCTGTTGTGTTGCTCAGATCCCTGAGTCAGAAGTTGTGTTTGGTAATTCAGATGATGGTGCAGATATCAGCCCTCCCTGCTCAGGGCCTGGCATGAGGAAGGAGGAGCCCCGAGGTGTTTTGTGCCAGCAGTGTTGCCTGGGCACGTCAGGAGGAGCAGCAGCAGGTCGAAAGCAGTCCCAGCTGTGTGCGGATGAGAGGCAGCTCCCCTTGGATGTGGTTTTTGCTCTGTGGTCTTTCTGGGAAGACTCACAGAGGGTTTTATCAGCCTCCCACGCTCAGATGTGGCTGCGCCCAGCCGTGCGAGGTCCCATCTGATAAGTGTGGGGAGCTGGGCAGAGCTCTGTGCCTGTTGGTCGTGTTGCAAACGTGCTCCTCCTGGCTGTTCTGCTGATCTCTCGTAACCCTGGCACAGCCCTGCCTCCCAACTGCTACTTGGGGGCATGTTTTTGTTCTTATCTTTCTTCCTTATCTCCTTTCCTCACCGCTGCGGTTCAGCCTCGTGAGCCCCATCTCCCCTGCAGCCCTGGGCTCTTCCACGCACACATCCTGTGTGTCCCCAGCTCTCCCCTCTGCTGCTCTCAGTGCCAGCAGAAGAGCTGCTGCCCAGAGGCTCTGCAAATATCTTTGTGGAGATCAGGAGCAATTAAACTCCTTGTGTTTCCCCATCTTTGCAGCTCCGTGGTGGAGGCGCAGAGGTTTGGATGGGGGGGAGAGGGCCTGGCTGTGCTGTGCTGCTGGGAAGCCTTTGGGCAGCTTCTGTGTGTCCTCTTAGAGCGCAGACGGAGCTCAGGGCTGGGCACAGCGGTTCAGAAGCACTGAGGGAGGCAGCAGCAATCAGTTCTGCCTGTCCTCAGGTGCCTCGCCTGAGCCGGGCCGTTTGGGGGTGGCGGTGGGGTTTCTCTGCTTCGTTCAGTGGCATTCCCAAGCCCAGCTCTCCACCTGGGTTCTCTGTGCTGTTATGCAGGTTCTTGATCTTCTTTGACGATGGCTACGCTTCGTACGTCAAGGAGTGGGAGCTGTACCCAGTCTGCAGGCCGCGTGAGTGACCTCTGCCTCCCCTGCGTCCTCCTGCTGGGTCACTCGGGGCGCTTGTGGGCACGCGAGGGGCTCATCTGGAGCATGAAGGTCGCACATCTCAGTGCTGTGCTCCTGGAGATTCGCTCCGCACGCAGAATGGGAGGCAGCTCCCTGCCTGGGGGCATCGGCGTGGCTGCGCGCCCTGCTGCCCTGAGCAGAAATGCGTTTGGAAAGGAGCCAAAGGACCTTTCCCCCAACCTCGTTTCTCTCCCTTTCTGTGCAGTTAAGAAGACTTGGGAGGACATAGAGGACGTGTCGTGCCGGGACTTCATCGAGGAGTACATCAGTGCCTACCCCAACCGCCCCATGGTGCTGCTGAAGAGCGGCCAGCTGATCAAAACCGAGTGGGAGGGGACCTGGTGGAAATCCAGGGTGGAGGAGGTGGACAGCAGTCTGGTCAAAATCCTCTTCCTGGTACGGCCATTGCTGCTCTGCCATCGAGGGGGGAGGATGGGGGCGTTTCTGTGTGTGGAGCCGAACCTGTGGGCCTTTGGAGCCCGGTTTCCCTGC